GTTTGCCGCGCCAACGGCGCTGCAAAGCAGTGCTTTGGGATGTGCATCAGAGCAACATACAGAGGGTGGTCATATTAAAACGTTTTTCCTGGGGTTTAAGCACATTCTGGGTCTTTGCAGGAATATGTGAAGAAGTGTGAATGTTTGGTTTGCTTTGGAAGAGAGGTTGTTTTCTGCGTCGATTCTTAAATGATTTTTTCTGACATCGGTAAAAACCTCGAGTTTTTGCTGTTCCGTGCTTACCGAAATGCGGCCTTTTACGGCGGCAGCAGCCACGACGTGTCTTGAAACGCCTTGTTCGGCGCAAGCCAATCCTCCACATCAGCTGCGTAGATGCAGAAGGTTCGCAAAGCAATTTCGAAGCTCGGTGCTTTCTGCACAAACATAGAACTCAAGGCATCTATGTGTGCACCGGCCTGCTTACAACTACACCTGCCGAGTTTGTTTCCCCTTCGCAGGCTGTGCTTGACATCCTTTTATGAGAATGCTAGTCTCTATGGTCCTATGTTACCGTTCCCTGTTCTCGGAAACCCCTATGTAGCTCACAGAGATTCGCAACCTTGATATATATATATATATATGGCATGAAGACGTCATCCTGCCCCCCCCCAACCCCCAACCCCCACCCATGAACAGTAAACCCTCAGCGGCAGCTGCAGCAGCAGTAGAAAACCCGTAGTGGCCGGAGTAGGACCAGCAGTAGATGGGATGACGCCATCATCAATGAGCACATCATCATGCGGATGTATGGCATCAAGACATCATCATCCCCCCGACCCCGCCCCCAAAGTGCGGCAAACAAGGGTGATGGAGCTTACTACTATTAATAGTAATACTACTAGTACTACTGGTACTACTACTACTACTACTACTACTACTACTACTACTACTTCTACTTCTACTATTACTACTACTACTACTACTACTACTACTATTGCTACTGCTACTCTTACTGCTACCACTAGTCCTACTGCCACTACTACTACTACTACTACTACTACTACTACTACTACTACTACTACTGCTACTACTACTACTAGTACCACTACTGGTACTACTAGTACTACTAGTACTACTAGTACTACTAGTACTACTAGT